AGAGCTCAACGGCACAGAGAGGTGCAGGTCATCCACCTGGAAGGAAAAAGGACATGATGAGGGTGACTGTGACACGTGCCCTGACTGATCTTCTCTTGTGGACGGGGACTTCATAAAGTTTTATCTCCAGTTATTGTGTCCAATGGCAATCAATACAGAGATCCCCATATAACGTCCCAGCTCTCATTGCTACCACCCCCCCCTCCAGCCAGGCAGGTCATTGCACAGGATTGTAGTAAACTATCAATTCTTCTGTGATGTAACAGTTACATTTGTTATACAGACAGTCCAGGCTGTGCAAACTTTCACATGGACTTAGGGTGTGTAGATTCTTGTAGTGCCAGGTGGGGTGGATGATGCTACCTTCTATATTATTCCATGAGATCCCTGTCAGATCTGTGCTATGCATTACTGTACCTTACTTCACTTTAATGGGGGTTGCCTTAAAGGCATAGGCATGTGCACCAGGTATTCTGGGCACACCCTAATCACACTGTGTGCAGCACGCAGAGGGTCAGCAGGGCCCTGGGTGCTGGAACTGTGTCGATGTTCCTGCACTCGGTACAGAAAGGAGTGATGTAGCACCCAACATGCAGAGTGGCAACGGATGACAGACCTGTTGGGGGGGAGTTGATGGCGAGTGGGAGTGGTGCAGTGGGGGCATGGTTGAGTTCCTGCATCTCTTCTCGGAGAAAAAAAGACCTGCTTACATTGTTCCTGATTAGTCACCAGGTGATAAATGAGCGGCTCTCTGTGTCTCTGCCACAAAAACATTCAGCCATTTTTCAATTGTGTGTTGCAGCCAGCAGCAGTCACCTGTGCTCTCTCCAAGATCAGTTTCCCTGTCCCCCGTCCTGGACCCCAGAGACCCTGGAAAACATGCAGCCCCCCTCTCCCAGCCAGCTTGTCCCCGGTCGCCCCCACTCCTGGTACAAAGTTTGGAAGGGACTCGAATTGAAAAAAGTCCACTGGTTAGGGGGCACAAATTACTAGCCTTGACACTATTCTTTCCACTGACACCAATGATGGGCACAAATTACTTGCTTTGCCCCAGACGCTGCCAACCCATGCTGCACCACTGCTTTAACTGACACAGATGTGACACTATTCCTTCCACTGACACCAATGATGGGGCACTATTCCTTCCACTGTCACCTTTATTGGAACTATTTCTCCGCCTACTGACCTAATGACCACAAGCACAATATAATTTTCTTGCCCTCACCAAAAACGGGTAATTTTCTATTTCCATTGAGCTCAGGCTGGACCCATTAAAGTCTGAATGACACTAATTTGGCCCTTTGTTTTAGATAGTTTGAAGACCCTGATGTATAGGTTAGCTTTAAGTGCATTTGCAGTATTTCTTTAATGATATAAGTAGCTTTCTTGATGGATTGCATTTGTTTTCCTGGAGCCTATTTTTAAACTAATATAAAACAATCAGATTCTATAATATATATCCTTTATGTTAGTCTACGATATATTTTGGCATTTCAGACAGTGTATTGTGCTGATCTGTTTTAATTTAGTTTCTTTAGTTTTTTTCAATCTGTCCTTATAGAACAAGCCCTGAGGTGACTTTAGTGACTTCTTATTGCGGCATTCACATATTGCTGTGTCTTACAATCTGTCATTCATTGTCACACTTGTCATGTTTGGTTTTTTTTCTTGTTACAGGCCTGGATCCTCCACTTGGCCTGAGGGCCAGTAACATCACTGACTCTGGAGCTGTTTTGCTATGGGAGCCACCAAGGGCAAATGTGGAGAGTTATATAATCACACTGACGCACCACACAGGTCAGTAAAGATCACATATTCGCATACATCAGTTATATAGAAAAAACAATATATGTCAGCCTGTAGAGCTGTAGAGGCAGTATACAGGCACCTAGATGAGCTGCCACTGTTTGTGTGTTCATATATTAACTGTAACATCTGCACAGCACATAATAAATGAGGTATGAATGAGAATTTTAAAGCTATACTGGTTACATTATAAACACATATCTTAGCAATTAAAAAATATTGTTTTAATGAATAAAAGAATAGCATGGCAAGCTAATTAGTTTTCACTGATTCCCCAGCCTTCACATTAACCAACAATTTCTGTATTTAGTCCATGGTCAGTGGTGAATGGTATTTCTCATTATGTTTAACAGAGGAGTTCTATTTTTTCAGTACTCTTTGGAAATCATACAACATTGTAATAAATACCAAAAAGAAAGAATATAAGATTATTCAGTCAAAGCAAAATTGTTCCAATCTGCCAGTCAAAGTGGGCCTATTATTTGGTGGAAAAAGCATGTGTTGCTGCAAAAACTACCTGAAAAAAAGCTTTGATTGAAGTGTTGCTGTTGCATATAAGCCAAGCTAATTGTAAAGAAAAAACATCTATTCCCCAGTCAAATAAGTGCAGCCAGTGTACATTGTCGCTGAGACTATCCATGGAAATAATACTTGTAGGCAGGTGCAGTCTACATTCTCCACTGCAGGTGGTGGTGGTCTGTAACAACAATGCAGCTGGAGGAGGAAGTCAAGAGAAACTGGGTTTCTCTATGATGATTCCCTTGGTCCCCTGGGGCAGCGATCTGTGTGGCTACACTCTATTCAGGTAAACGTCTTGCATTTTACTTGTTGGCTATTATAGAGACAGAGCACCTGCCTGTCAGGGAGAGCACTAGCTGTAGGGAGAAGTTCCAGAGGAGTAGAAAAAGTGTAGGGTCTTCATCAGCCACTAAGCAAGCTCCCTTCTGGGTAGGAGAGGCCAGGCCGGACTCTGCTCACATTGACAAGCACTGTCTCCAGCTCGGGCCTACTCATCTCTGACTCTCTGTTCTAACCAATGCGAGTTTCCTGGTTGGGTGTACTTTCCTGCCAGGTTGTTGTACTGCTTTACAAGTTCTGCAATACATCATTTTCTGCAAACACGGACTCTGCGTGTTGTCTCCTCCTGTACCACGCTGCACCTATCTAATATACTGCTCCATAACGATAACACCACATGCAGTTTTAAGTCTTCCCCAAGAATATTAGTTAAAGAGTTTGTGCATTTTCAATGTTGTTATTGAACCCACCTGAAAAGACCCTCTCCCTGCTCTACAGTTTTTATTTATTTTCTTTTTGCACTGGTAAAGTACATGTCCCCCATGGCAATGCCAAGCTTCCCATACCTATTAGCTCAAAAATAGCTAGAATGCAATGAAATCATTAGCCCCTATAGATTTTACTTGAATTTACTTGGGTTTAAAAACCCTTGGCCAATCAAATATGTGCTGATTTGTCTACGCTATTTATCAAGGTAAATATATACACCTACCTAGGATGATCCCCGGGTCAGCATAGTCTTCACAACCTTGGCACTTTTGGTTTTTAATCCAGTACATGTGTCAGCAGATTCCATAGAGAATAACGGCCTTCGCTATGAATACCAGGTGCCATGTATGATGGTTATTCCCAGTGGTGACTTCTGGAGCATGTGCTGGATTGCAAAGCAGGATGGGTATGCCATGGACTGAGCACCCAAACATCATAAGGGCATGTTAACAGATGTTCTGACACATGAGAGGCTTTCCTACCTACTCTTTTTGTTTTTACTATACTCAAAACTAAAGGGTTTTTTTTATATGCCTATTTAATATTTACATTTCCAGCCAGCAGGTGAAACTCTGGGAACACTTTCACATGTATACTAATGTAATCTTAACAGCTTTGGTGATTCAGGCATGTTGTTTGCAAAGCACAATAGCTCAGGCATAGATTTACACACGTGTATTATTCAGGCAGTGACTCAACTCCCCTCTTCCCACTAACTGCCTGCTGTGTTGATACGGAGTGATATGGAGTTTCAATCAAAGAAAGTCTGAAACCAAACTGTTTTCCCTTTGGAAAACCTATAATGGTCTGACACCACTGCCATGGATGTACCATATATTAAACAGTTATTTGTAAAAAATAAAGATCTTTTGTTTATCACAAAAAAGTAAAAACATCAGTTTAACTAATGAAAACACATGAAACCTGTGTTAACATAAGTCAATGTGATTTGTCATGTATTGCTGTACATTTTAATATGCATTGCAATTCACTTTACATTGTGCAGCAACATACATTATAATGGATCTCTATGTACCCTTCAATGCGCACTGACGTGTGTCATTGCGCATGAGATGTGTCATGCTGTAACCTGAATGACAACATTAATTTTTATGTCTTTCAATTGGTTTCAATGGTAAGTGCACCAGGCAAAAATTCAATGGTGTGAATCCTGTCTTGACACAGTTTAAATGATGAGTGCATAAAAAAGTTGCATAGTACATTAATAAACCCACTCAGAATTAGGGTGAAATCTGAACTGCAGTATATTGTTATAACAGAGTAGCTAGCACCTATTGCTTAAATAATTTTAACTGTCTACTATAGTAATATTGTTTTAACAATAAGGGTCTTTAAAACCCAACTTTGGGAAATTTGAAAATTATCTCTTGCAGTATAACTGCGCCCGTACTGCAAGGGTAACTGCTCATTTAGTCTATGAGAAATGGTCACAGAAAAATAGAAGTACTTTAAGTTACCTGATGACCTGGCAGATTGTGCTCCCCCATGCTCTGGTGGTGGACATGGTGTCAGCAGGTCTTGTCTTATGCCACATCTTGTCCAGGGTCATCGTGTCTTATGTGTCTTGGTGACGTCAGGACCTTAGACTGCTGAAACATAGGGATCCTTAGACTCTGCAAGGATCGATCTAGCAGCACAGAAAAGACGAAGAACTTTAACCTACCTGATCCTCTACTCCCTCGGCAGATGGTTCTCCCGCACACTCCTGTCTTTTGGTGTCATAACGTCTAGTGCAGGACTATGGATCCTGTTTTAGTCTTGAAGACGTCAGGATCTTTGACTGTTGGAACAAAGGGGAGACGATGCTACAGGCACTGGTCTAGCAGCATGGAGAAGTGGAGAATTTGATAAGTATACCTACTTTAACAAGTCCCCTAGACCTAAATAAGCAATTAAAGTGGTTGTAAAGGCTGAAGGTTTTTTTACTTTCATGCATTCTATGCATGAAGCTAAAAAACCTTCTGTGTGCAGCAGTGCCTCCAGCCCCCTCAATACTTACCTGAGCCTCATCGCGATCCAGCTATGTGAATGACAGCCTCGGCTGTCATGGGTCTCTGCCTCCTCATTGGCTGAGACAACAAGTGGGAGCCATTGGCCCCCGCTGCTGTAAATCACAGCTAGTCAACCAATGAGGAGAAAGATGGGGCTGAGCCAAACCAAGGCTCCCTGTGTGAATGGACACACGGAGCTGCGGGTACCCCCATAGCAAGCTGCTTGCTGTGGAGGCATCTGACTGACAGGAGGAGCCAGGAGAGCCTGCGGGGACCTGAGAAGAGGAGGATCCAGGCTGCTCTGTGCAAAACCACTGCACACAGCAGGTAAGTATGACATGTTTGTTATTTTACACACAAAAAAAATTAACCTGTAGAATCGCTTTAACTCTTGCATGGTGAGTGCAACTCTACTGCAAGGGATAATTTTAAAATTTTTATGGAGTCCTTAAATATCGAATGCCTAAATATGTGGTTTTTTTTATCCGATTCAGTTTCAGGAGAGACAATTCTCATTGATGGGGAAAGCCAGGAGTTTCAGCTGCAAAACCTTCTCCCTCATACCCATTACTCAATCTCCTTGTCAGCCAGCATTGGGCCTCAAGCCAGCCGGAGCTCTGGTGTCAGCTTCACCACATGTAGGTACAAATCATGGCTTGAGCCAGGGCACTCTTATTAAACAGTATTAAATGAAAGTGAAAGGTACTGTTCATATTTCATTATGATAATTGATGCATATTTTCCATCCACCTCTCCTTTAACAGCGCAGAGTGTTGTGCGAACATTTTGTATGCTGCCTTGGCAAGACTGTGCATCTCAATATTTATCTCAGCATGATTTGTACTTATTTTCCTTTTCTTTCTGTTGTCATGTAATTGTATTTGAAAAACTAATAACAATTCACTGAGAAAAGGAATGCTAAAATGCATTAACTCCATTCTAGTCGTATAGCCAGGAGACACTGGTATCACCTGAGCTTCAGGGATTTTACATTGAATTCAAAACCTACTGAGTTCAGCAGACTCCCATCTCTGCCTATAATAGTAATAGATAATTCATGAACTGTATTCAATGCTTCATTTTTTTTAGTTTGGATAGAGTTGGAAGAAAACCCTGGACAGATGTCCTCACCCTGGGGAGATTTACCCTCTGTTTGCCCTGGGGGCCAGCATTTTACAGTTGTTGCAAACAGAAGGCAAAGGAAAACCTTCCTTTGGGCACACTTTCTCCAGTAAGCGGTGTCACTTTGGAGAACTCTCCAAACAAAAACGTATGACCATGCACAACCCACCCCCAATTCTTTTCTACTCAAATTTTCCATGCTGTCCCCCGCTTTGTTCCCTTGGGAGTCAAATCCTTTTTAAACTCTATTTTGGATCATGTTAGAACCTTTTTGAACACATGTTGATGATGTTATCAGAGCAATGGAGAACACAATGAAGATGAGTTTATTTAGGTGGGGGTGGGAGGACTAAGACAATCTGTTACTTTAGCTTTTCAGAAGAAAGTGACAGTCACTTTAAAGTATTTCTAAAACCAAAACGTTTATAAAGTGTATCTAAAACCATAAAATTTTTTCCATTTTGGATAGAGTAGGGAAGGTTTAACAGCCCTAGCAGGATATTTTCCCATCTGTGTCCCATTCAAAAGATTTCACTCTCTCCAAAATTTTCTCTTAGACAGTTGTCACTAGACCAAGTGTACCCATTAAAAGATTTCCGCTGTATTCCTATTTTGTTGATAACCAAAAATTTCGAATTTTCCTTCATTTCAGTTTTGACAATGGTCATCAAAAAACAGAGGGTGGATCTCCCTGATAGGAACACAGACAGCTATAGGAAACCTGAAAAGGATTCTGAAAATTCCCTATCTGATCCAGAATTTAAAAAAGCGTTGGCTTTGGGTACATTTTAAGGAAAACGTTAACATTAAACTGTCCTTAGATGGATCGAAATTTGGCTTCAGCAGTGACCAGCCGAATTTCGATTCCTCTATGGCCAGTCCCACCTGACCAGAAGTTAACCTAAGGATTGAGTTCTGTTGAATGGGACTGTTGGAAAATGTTTCTCTATCAGCCAGCTGCAGTGGCTGTTTAATGTGTTCTGACAGCAGAGGACTTCCGCAGTCAGCATACAATGGCACAACAGGAAGGATTCCTCCATCCATCTCGATTGTGTAGATGGGGGATTAGTCTATGCCCAATCTAAGAATAATGATGGGTTCCTTCTGAAATTACATCATAGTTTTCCTTTATAGTGGAACAAATCTGGGAAATTCAAACTGTGAAAGACAATAAGCAGAAGTCAACGTCAGTGACGACCACATGTCAAAATGCTAAGAAATTGTAGAAACATAGGCAGCTAAAATGATCATCCTTTCATATAAAAATTGAGCATGGCCCCTTCCCCACCTTCTGAGCCTATTTATTGGTTTATATGATAAAACTTCATCTGTATTATTGAATTTACACATCATTTTGACAGCCGATTTGTACTGAAAGTAACCTCTACTTAAGTATTCCTTATCATATGTTCAGTTTGAATTGCCTAGGTTTGTGACAGGTTTACTTTAAATTGAGAAAATTGAGAAAATAACAACATAGTAAAACCGAAGTAACAGTATCAAAGCTAACTCACACCTTTATCAGTCTGCATCTGCTTTTCTGATTTTCTTCACATACGTTTTTTATTAAAACTCTAGCTGTTGTATATATTGCAGTACTTCCAAACTTCCTCCATAAATTGCCAGTGCATTGCCGAACGAGTGTAGCCTTATTGTCTCATTTAGAACAATATGTTCTCAAATACATCATGATGCTGGTGCATGAATGACCTATTAAATTATGAATAGGACTTCAGACTCAATTTGCTCGGTGACTGGTAGCCAGTGATGTTCTTTAGGGTGCAGTGATCAAATCAGTGATAGATCCTGGGCTAGGTAAATTGAATTTATTCTGCACCAAAAAATATGCAAATTGCATCCATTCTGCAGCGTATTTGTGTTATGATAAAAGGAAAAAGGAAATCTTTCTTGATTTATTACTCATATTGATACTTTTGGAATCTGAAGGCGGAATGTCAGAGAATTTAGATACAGCCCAATAGATCATCTTGATAATGAAGGCTGACAGCTGCATAATGTATTATATATAGAAAAAAATGGTATAACTGAGAAAAAAAACAATCAAATTAAGGGGTTAATGTGTATGTAAACTGTTACAGTTTCTCTAATTTGCTGATTTTTGCTCTGTTAACTATACATTTGTAAGTTTCTGTTATATGAGTGCCAACAAATACCTGTTGATCCTGCCAGAAATCAGTAAGCTTGTCAGATCATCTGCACTCTGCATGCATTATTATCTCAAGCAGTATTATCTGCCTTGACCAGTGTACTTCTGTGTTTTGGAGAAGCTGGGAGGGGGAGTGTTCTGTATTCTGATAAGAGCACCAGTGGGTGATTTGACCAACAAGGATCCATTTTTAAGCCAACCATACACTATACCATTTGTTTTTACAATCTCCTATAGATCTACCGACAACTTTGTAATGTAAGGTCCTGTTTGGTTGTTCACACTTGTTTTCACATTACATTTGGTAAACTATATATTATACAATCAAATTGCATAATGTATTACCATCCTTAACCGCCCGCCATAGAGTACAATGACGGCACAAGGCAGTTCTTTCGTTCTTGGAGGACGTCATATGACGTCCTCCCACTCTAACTGCGTATGGGCGGCTCCGGGAGCGCGCAGTGCGGCGATCAGCGGGTGCACTGTGTCCCTCGGACACAGCGGATCACCAATCAATGGAAAGAGCCGAAGATGTTGGCTCGGTCATGTGATCAGCTGTGTCCAATCACAGCTGATCGCATGTAAATATGAAAATGCCGGTTATCGGCAAGTTTATCTAGAGGACGAGCCGAGTAAATGGCATCCCTCAGAGGGGACATGTACACTGATCATCAGGGCACTGATGATCAGTGTGCCCTGATAATCTGTGTAGCCCCAGCAGTGCCACCTGTTAGTGTCCATCAGTGCCAGCTGTCAGTGCTCATCCATGCCACCTGCCAGTGCCCCTCAGTGCCACATTAATGTCCCATATCAGTGCCTACCAGTGCACATCAATCCACATATCAGTGCCCATCTGAGCTGCCTTTCAGTGTCACCCATCAGTGCCAGTCAGTGCCACCTATCAATGCCAGTCAGTGCCACCTATCAGTACCAGTCAGTGCAGCCTATCAGTGCCAGTCAGTGTCGCCTATCAGTGTGCATCAGTGCCACCTAACAGTGTCAGTCAGTGCCGCCTATTAGTGCCACCTATCAGTGCCGCCTATCAGTGCCATATATGAGTGCTGCCTTTCAGTGCCCATCCGTGATGCCTGTCAATGCCCATCAGTGCCACCTACCAGTGCCTCCTCATCAGTGCCCATCAGTGCCACCTATCAGTGTCCATCAGTGCAGCCTATCAGTGCCCATCACTGCAGCCTCGTTAGCGCACATCAGTGAAGAAGAAAAATCACTTATTTACAAAATTTTATAACAAAAACTTTTTTTTTTTTTCCAAACTTTTCAGTGGTTTTCAGTTTGTTTAAGAAAAAAAAACCCAGAGGTGATTAAATACCACCAAACTAAAGCTCTATCTGTCACAAAAAAATGATAAAAATTTCATATGGGTACAGTGTTGCATGACCGCACAATTTTCATTCAAAGTGCAACAGAGCTGAAAGCTGGAAATTGGCCTGGGAAGGAAGGGGGTATAAGTGCCCTGTAGGCTAGTGGTTAATTAACCTATCAGTTTTATGCAGAAAGACCATTGATATTATAATGCTTGTATTACCACCCCCTTATTGGATTCTCAAAGAGATTCATGGAGAATCAAATTAAAAGTACTGTAAGAAACAATTTAGTTGCTACTTGATTTGGCTGTGGACAACCTGCAGTTTACAAATTATATTAGGTAATTACCAAATGCTATAAATAATTACATATTTAGTAAAATATTTAAGAAAACCCTTCATGAGAGAATTATGTAGCCTACCTTTGCTCTCCTTCTGAAATTGCCGGTGGCCTGGATGTCATGACAAATCAGCTGAATACTCAGGGGAAATCCATACAGTATATGAGAGTCGTTTAACCTACCAAAGGAACTGTGTTTCAGTCTATCCAGTCTCGAGAATTAGAAAGTCCTGCCACACAGCACAGTCATGTCTGATAGAGCAGTAGACCTGAATTTTTCCTCTTGCTGTTAAAGCAATATTAAAGGTTAATTTGTTATTTTTTTTATTTTTTTTTGTAAAATAACAAACATGTTTATGCTTACTTGCTCTGTGTAGT